GTTTTCAGGGAATTATGGTTTACTTTTTGTTTGCTGGGGGATTAATAAAAAAGATTAAACTGTGGTGCCAAAAAGCAGAGGAGCCAATATCAGCTCCTGCTTGCTTTCGTGTTGAGCTGATTTTTGTACCGGGAGGGGCCTTCCCATTACATGCTCCCAAATAACTGAAAAAAATGAAGGAAAGGTGAAAAACGAATTCCACACACAACTCTATTAATCAGTTTACTCGCCCTCTTCCTCTGTTCACCTTCCAGCTTAGAGTCAGGTTCTCTTTTTAACTGTGAGGCCCTAAACCGAACACTGTGCAATTCCAGGTAACGATGTCTGACTAAAGCAGAACAAAGAGGCACCAGGACTTCCCTCAATCTGGACACTGGATTCCTTTGGATGCAGCACAGAATCCCATTGGATTTTCAGCTGCTGCATCACATTGTTGGCTCATGTTCAGCTTGTTCTCTACGAAGGCTCCAAGACCTTTCCCACATAGACTGCTGTGGAGCCAGGTGTCTCCCATTCTGTATCTTTGCATTTCATTCCTTCTGCCTAAGTGTAGTATCTTACATTTGTCCTTGTTGGAATTCATTGTGTTGGTTTTTTGCCATTCAGCTCTCTCATCTGTTGAGGTCATTTTGAATCCTGATCCTGTCCTCGAGTATTTGAAGGGAGAGTATTTGCTCTCCCTCCTAATTTGGTCCCATCTGCAAACTTGATAAGAAGCTTGCCATCAACCTTCAGCCAAATCATTAATAAAGATGTTGAACAGAACTGGGCCCAGGACTGAACTCTGTGGCACTCCATTAGTCCCTTATTTCCAGCATGAAGAAGAGGAGCCATTGGACTTGGAGCCGGGATTTTCGTGCCGGGAGGGGTTTGCCGTTTCGTGCTCCCAGAGTACTGAAAGAAACAAAGGAAACCAGAGAAACAAATTCCGCACACAACTCTACCTTATACAGCATTCAGTATGAAGGTGTTTACAGCACATTTGTGACGTAATGTAAAATAAACCACGTATAGTTCACGTTTGATCAGCCCACACACTGCCTTACCAGAGGAAAAAAATGCAATGCAGACGAAGTAGTTTACTCTTCACAGTTCAGAACAACACATGTACAATGTGATTAGTTGTATCAACTCATATAATTTCCTTTTATGAGAGATTTAAAATGGTCTTTGTCCACGTAGATAAACTTCTTCAGCAGCTCATGAGGCGAGAGCACACTCAAAACTGTCTCTCCTTCTCCCTCTGCTGATATAAGCACCTGCATAGCTCAAGCCTGAACATAAATGTAACAGTATCCAAAGGTACCAGGCTCAGCCTGCTCCCTGGCATACCCTGACCAATCAGCTCCATGCATCTTATTTTACAGTTGACACACAAATACACACTCACTGATTCCTTACGTGTTCCAACAAACTTTATGACGACCTCATGAAGGTAGGTTATTATGAACTCCACAAAAAGATGAGAGAGCACGCCAAAAACTTCTGGTAACAGGCACTGGTAATCTGAAGCATTAGTTTCCAGATATTAACACTAAATCAAAATAGCTCACAAATCGGCTTTAGGTAGTATACGAGAAGCAAAAACACAGAATTCAGATACAGTGGGATAAACTATCAGAAACCCTGTGTATGTGCATGAATAAATATAACTGTTGCCTGTACATATGTACGATTCCTCACATTCAAGCTAAATCTTGTGATGCCTGGGTAGCAGGCTGTGCCTGGGACTTTTGGATACTGTTACATTTATGTTCAGGCTTGAGCTATGCAGGTGCTTGTATCAGCAGAGAGAGAGTAAAAGCAGATTTAACTGATAAGGTAACGAGGACTGAATTTTCCACTATAACAAGCAAGATCTAGTTCCATCTTCCAACACTCAAAAGGTAACTCCACAAACTCACACCTTTTTCTTTGGAGCAGATTAGATATATAGGTAGAGTATATATATACACTGGCTGAAGACTGGGATACTTCTCCAACCTTCTTCTCCTGATACTTCTAGATAACTGGAGATTTACCTGCAGCAGGCTGGTTTTGTAGTCCAATTCTTCTTGATGCTCCAACCTTCAGTCTCCTCAAGCCACAAGCCTCTCAGAACTCCAACCTTCAGTCAACTACAACTCTTCAACAATGAATAGCCCTTTTGCTCCTTTATTACCCCAGCAGTTACTTCACCCTGGTGTTTTGGCTCTTACTGCTAGTTGCCCTGATTCTTACACTACTTGTTACTTAAGAAACGATAAAAACTCTGACAGTATATTATTATTATTATTATTATTTATTAATTACACCATTGTGGAGGAAGGCACAAAGAAAGAGAGTGAAAAGGGTCAACAAGAATCAAATAGTTGTGATGCCACTTTTTGTATTCTAAACATCAATTGTTTTATTTTAATTTGTTTTGACAAATTTCAGTTAAAAACATCAACATCAAAATATGACAGTTTTTGAGGAGCTCCTTCTTGAATCAGAAATATCTTGCAAACAGCCAACAGTTAGCAGTCAAAGAATTAAAATTGAGGCAAGGAAAATCCTCTTCTTTGCTGTCTCCTTGTCACTTGCCAATGCAGCAGCACTGAGACAGAATATGTCTCTTGTATTGTCTTCTATAAAACTCAGCAAGCGAGAGTCCAAAAGTGGCAGGCTCAAACCCAGCACCTCAATCCGTGGGTGATACCAGATGAGAGACTCCCCCCTGGGCACACAGAAGACTAGGCAACTTGGAAGGCGCTGAACAGACTGCCCTCTGGCACCACGAGATGCAGAGCCAATCTTAAGAAATGGGGCTACAAAGTTGAATCCACGACATGTGAGTGCGGAGAAGAGCAAACCACAGACCACCTGCTGCAATGCAACCTGAGCCCTGCCACATGCACAATGGAGGGCCTTCTTGCAGCAACACCAGAGGCACTCCAAGTGGCCAGATACTGGTCAAAGGACATTTAATCAACTACCAAGTTTGCAAAATTTGAGGGTTTTTTCATCTGTTTGTTTTGTTCTGTTAGAAATGTAATACAATGGTATGGTTGCTGATGACACGATAAATAAATTCTATAAATTATAATCCAGGCATCTAGCATTCGGGACTTACCTTGATCCGTTTCGTGTCCCAGCTTTCGGTGGGGACCCTGATCCGTTTTCATCTGAGCCTCCTGAAATCGGGAGGTCTGATATTTGCTTTTAGTTTTCAGGCTGAAAAATCAATTTTTTCAGCCCATTATTGGGGGGTGGGGGAACTTCAGCCATATGTCCAAAGTGTCTGGGCCTACAGGTGCAGGCTTTGGGCCTACGCACCTCAGCCTGGTAGGGCCTGCAGCCAATTGTCAAGGAGCACTCCTTACTCTGTGTTCAACTGCAGGCCCTGCCAGGCTCCAGGCAATCGATCCGAAAAGCAGGCTTGGAGCCGGTACCCGCTCCCGCCTGCCTTTCGTATCGATTGCATTTTCGTTCCAGGAGGAGCTTTTTCGTTTCGTGCAATCCAGATGGATGGCACAAGGCAGGCATGTAGCCAGGAGGGGGGGTCTGTGAGAAGGCCTTACTAGTACATTGTTTAAACTGTTACGTTTATTCATATCATTATCTGATCACAATGCCAGTCTCTCACGTCCCTGCCAGTCTCTCAAGCTTGGCTAGTGAGTACAAGGGAGAGAGCCTTTTCCACTGTGGCTCCCTGACTCTGGAACACACTGCCTGGAGAAATTAGGAAAGCCCCTTCCCTAGAAATCTTCAAAAAGAACCTTAAAACCTGGCTCTTCCGCTGCGCCTTTGATGAGTAGGTATATAATCCCACATGATTGCTCTGCCTCAAAGTTCTGTCATTGGAGTATACGTCCCTCCTCATGGGAAAGCTTGATTCCACAACTCCTGCTAAAATGAGCCCTCCTCCATAAATTACCTGCTTCCCTCTTTTATCTCGCCCGAGTTTTTAATTAGTTTTAATCAGTTTGTCCTTTTAATCACTATATGTAGCCTGCCCATTATTATCGTGCCTGTGCATATTTTTTAAATTGGTATGTATTCATATGTTTTATGTAACTATGATGTTATTGTTTATTGTTTGCATTTTCGGTTTGTGTTTTTGGTTTTTCTTCATTGTAATTGTCATTTGGGCCTCATGGAGTGGTCATAGAATCCTAGAATCAAAGAGTTGGAAGAGACCTCATGGGCCATCCAGTCCAACCCCCTGCCAAGAAGCAGGAATATTGCATTCAAATCACCCCTGACAGATGGCCATCCAGCCTCTGTTTAAAAGCTTCCAAAGAAGGAGCCTCCACCGCACTCCGGGGCAGAGAGTTCCACTGCTGAACGGCTCTCACAGTCAGGAAGTTCTTCCTCATGTTCAGATGGAATCTCCTTTCTTGTAGTTTGAAGCCATTGTTCCGCATCCTAGTCCAGGGAAGCAGAAAACAAGCTTGCTCCCTCCTCCCTGTGGCTTCCTCTCACATATTTATACATGCCTTCATCATGTCTCCTCTCAGCCTCCTCTTTTGCAGGTTAGACATGCCCAGCTCTTTAAGCCACTCCGCATAGGGCTTGTTCTCACTGCTGCCATTTTATTGACACTATGGAAAGGAGAGCATTAGAAGTAGGATTTTTCAGGCAGATTGCAGGTTTGAAGCCATTGTTCCATTGCGTCCTACTCTCCAGGGCAGCAGAAAACAAGCATGATGTGGGGATAAGTATACACCTGGGTTTTGTTAGGGTGCTCTCAGCCCCCCTCCCCCCCCCCCCCCCCTTGAATCAAAATCCTGGCTATAGGCCTGGCACAAGGGATAGATGGAGCAATGCCAGCTCATGAGTAACCATACAATTAAAATGAGATCCAACTGAAACAAGCAGGAGGCTTGAGCAAAGACAAGGCAAGGCAATTTTCAAGACAGGGATAAAATACAGATCTGGTAAAGCAAATTTGATAGTTCCTTGTTTCTGTGGATATGTTTCCTCACTGAGTATACATCCCCTCTCTCAGCCAACAAACAGACACAAAAAGCAGTGCATTAAAAGTGTTGCTGCCAAGAAAAAGATCCTTTATCACAACACAAAATACACAGCGAAGACATAGGTGACAGTAAGTGGGAAAAGTGCGCCCTTCTTGAAAGATGTCTCTGCAGTTACACATCACTTTGAGACAGGCCCAAAGCAGTGCTGTGTGGCCAAGTGTAAAAAATAGACTGACTCTTGTCATTCCTTCTGGAGACTTCAGAAGATAACGGCCCAATGAGGAATGGGAACTATCTGAGGGAGGACCGATTTGTTTCCTCCTTCTGGTTGACGACAAAAGAATTCAACAATCCAACGCAGAAAATGGTGAAAAACTCAGCCAATTCGTCTTGGAATGACAGCAATGGCGGCCGCACAGGTATCTGGAGTACTGATGCACCAGAACATCGCTTTGCTGAGGATATCTGTATGATCCTTTCAGTGAAGCAATTCCAAGGAACCCCGGCAAACTGGTCCAGATACCACACCACAGATATGGCATATGAGCACTGGACGACTTTGCTCACAAATACTACCAAACACTGAGACAAAGTCATTTTTGCTTTCAGGCAACTTTGTAAGACGACCAAAGGTATATAACAGCATACAGGTAATTCAGCCACAGGAAGGATTTATCAGCAACAGAGCATCGGAAAGAGAGTGCACAGAAGACTTCTGCTGTCAAAAGTCCTGAGATTGGGCACTCGCTCCAGGCTGGAGATTTGTGCGGAGCTTGTACATGTGATCTAAAGCTTGAGTGAGGAAAGGGCCCGTGGTGTTGATCTCCATCAAAGTCAGGTTATCCAGCTTACAAAAGACAAGGAACAGATGTTACAAAATGATAACAACACCTGTGGTTCGATTGACCTTTTGCATGACTGAGCAGCACAAAATACCTGGGAGAAATCACATTGTGCAAAACTGTCCTGCATAGGTTTTCAAAATATTCCAGAAATATATCGTTTGGCAAGGGAAAAAAATGAGGATAAACTTCAAAAACATGACCAATGAAAAAAAGAAGGGGAGGGTTGGCCATGCCGGACCTAAATGTATATTTTGAAGCTAGCACCGTTACATGGATCATTGACATCAGCATAAAAAATAAACTCACCCAGCTTTCCCCAATTACAATCCAGCACTTCGGAATAGCACTCCGCTCAGGGAGACTGTTCTAGTGCCTTAAAAAGGGAAAACGGACCCTGTCCTAATAGCTTTCAGCTGTCTATTTTTGCTCGCTTTCACTTGAAAAATCCCCATCAAAATGACAACACAGCTGGGATACATACTGAACATCTCGTGCAATCCTTTCAGAATCTGCAAATTTCAGAATCTAAAACTGTTCATGTTTCAGAATTAAAATTCAGTCTTCCTTCTAAGGCAGCGTTTCTCAACCTGGGGGTCAGTACCCGGGAGTGGGGGTCACAAGGGGGTTAGAGGGGTCTCCAAAGATTATTAAAAAACAGAGTATTTTCTGAGTTGTTGTAGGTTTTTTCGGGCTATATGGCCATGGTCTACAGGCATTTTCTGTTGGTCATGGGGGTTCTGTGTGGGAAGTTTGGTTCAATTCCATCGTTGGTGGAGTTTAGAACGCTCTGATTGTAGGTAAACTATAAATCCCAGCAACTATAACTCCTGAACGTCAAGGCCTATTTTCCCCAAACTCCACCAGTGTTCACATTTGGGCATATTGAGTATGCCTACCAAGTTTTGTCCAGATCCATCATTGCTTGAGTCTACAGTGCTCTTCAGATATAGGTGAACTATAACTCCAAAATTCAAGGTCAGTGCCCACAAATCCCTTCCAGTATTTTCTGTTGGTCATGGGAGTTGTGTGTGCAAAGTTTGGCCCAATTCCATCATTGGTGGAGTTTAGAACGCTCTTTGATTGTAGGTGAACTATAAATCCCAGCAACTACAACTCCCAAATGACAAAATCAATCCCCCCCCCCCCACCAGTATTCAAATGTGAGTGTAATGTGTATTTGTTCCCAATTTGGTCCAGTAAATGAAAATACATCCTGCATATCAGATATTTACATGACAATTCGTAACAGTAGCAAAATTACAGTTATGAAGTAGCAATGAAAATAATTTTATGGTTGGGGGTCACCACAACATGAAGAACTGGATTAAGAGGTCGCGGCATTCAGAAGGTTGAGAAACCCTGTTCTACGGCATGTTTTGAATCTAACTCATATTTTTCTATTATTTTTCATAACTCGGGACGAATAAAAATTTGGATGCTGCAAATAATTTACTACTGTATCCTCTGACTTTTTAATATTGTATTAGTAAAGTGCACACAAATTAGATATCCCACAATTGGTGAGTGTTCTGATGTCCTTCCTATTTATGCTTGAGTCTCATTCTCTGTCCTAAGCAATGGGTTTTAGTTGGTTTCATCTGGACTGGGAAAAGTCTAAGTCTTTGAAGTTGAAGCTAATGAAAAACTAAGAGGCATTTACTTTTTCAGAACTAATGCACATCATTTCAGAAAAACATAGTGATCTGTCAATCCACATCATGTGAAACTATGTGAGACTTAACTATGCTCCCAAATTGTAAGTAGAAGAAGAAATGAAATCAGAGAGTAAACATCTGAAACTTTGGCTTCAGGGATCTCTAGTCTAATAAGAGTCACTGTAACTTTTGTTATCTGATTTGGAGCACACAGATTTAACTAGTGATCTAGAATCAGTTAAAGCTAGTCAGTAGCTAACTGCTTTAAATCACTGCTGACCGAGAGGTCATGAGTTCAAAGCCAAACCGGGTCAGAGTGAGCTCCCGACCATTAATAGTCTAGCTTGTTGTTGACCTATGCAGCCCGAAAGACAGTTGCATCTGTCAAGTAGGAAATTTAGGTTCTGCTTTATGCGGAGAGGCTAATTTAAATAATTTACAACACCATAAAACCTTTCAGCAGCATGTGTAAGAATGAGAAAGTACTCCATCAAGGACTCGGTGTCACAAGTGGACGGTAAAGTGACAGCTCTTCCTGTGGCTGGAATTGAGCATACCCTCATGAAGCCAGAAAGTTGGAATGTTAAATTGCTTCTGAGTGTTGTATGTCAAATGGCATTGAATGTTTGCCATGTATATGTGCATTGTAATCCGTCCTGAGTCCCCTGCGGGGTGAGAAGGGCAGAATATAAATCTATATAAATAAAAATGTAATGTTCGTTTGTGGGATTAACAGAACTCAGAAACCCCTGGGGGAATTGTGTCTTTGGACACAAGACACCTAACAACCCAATGTATGTCCTTCACTCAAAAAACCACTGAAAAACACAGCAGAAGAGACTTTAAAAGTAAAAAAAACCCAACAAATACACGCACAAAACCACATATATATACACAAACTCACATATATACACACATATGCGCATATACACACCCAAAACACATACACAAACACAAGAAGGAAGGTGAGAAAGAAGGGGAAAGAAGGAAGGATGGAGAGAAGAAGGGAAAGAAGGAGGGAAGGAGAGAAAGAAGGAAAGAAAGGTAGAGAAGGAAGGAGGGAGAGAAAGAGGAAAAGAAAGGAAAGAAAGAAGGGTAGAGAAGGAAGGAGAGAAGAAGGGAAAGAATGAGGGAAGGAGAGAAATAAGTAGAGAAGGAAGGAAGGAGAGGAGGGAGAGAAAGAGGGAAAGAAGGAGAGAAGGAAAGAAAGGTAGAGAAGGAAGGAAGGAGAGAAGGGAATAAAAAAGTGAAAGGGAAGGAAGGAGAGAAGAAACGAAAGAAAGAGGGAGGGAGGAGGAAAGGAAGGAAGAAAGGACAGAAGAAAAGGCAAGGGAGGAAAGAAAGCAAATGAAGAAGAGAAAGGAAGGGAGGGAGGGAGGGAGGGAGGGAGGGAGGGAGGGAGGGAGGGAGGGAGGGGGAGGAAGGAAGGAAGGAAGGAAGGAAGGAAGGAAGGAAGGAAGGAAGGAAGGAAGGAAGGAAGGAAGGAGGGAAGGGGGGAAGGAGACAAGGAAGGATGGAACCAAAGAGCAAAGGAAGCGAGAAAAGAAACAGGTAGAGAAGGAAGAAAGAAGAAGGGAAAGAAGAAGAGGGAAGGAAGGAAAGAGGGAGAGAAGGAAGGAAGGAGAGAAAGAAAGAAGGAGAGAAAAAAAAGGAGAGAAAGAGGGAGGGAAAGTTGGCCACAGCAACGCGTGGCAAGTACAGCTAGTACTGTAAATAAATAAATAATCTTACCCTGGCATGAGCTTCCTGCTGCCTGACAAAGCTATCTGCAGACAACCGGAGCTTTGCTATTCGAGTGTCCCACGTATCCTTAACCAGCGTCCGGATCTCATCTGCCTTTGGAATATTGTCTGCAGCACTAATGAGAAAGAAAAATTTATTAACACAAGCCGTAAAAGAGCAAAGGTCACTATACAAACCAGTGGTTCCCACCCTGTGGTTCGTGGACCACTAGGGTCCTCAAAAACTAAAATACAGTCCACCACCATTACTATGTATAATATGTAGGGACTTATTTGGGAAATAATAAAAATCCCAAAAGCAGCAACAGAACACCACATTGGATCGGGCTTCTGTGATTTAAAAGCCCCAAAACCAAAGCTGTTAGGAAAGCTGGAACTTTGTTCTGGCCGGAAATCCCTTTTTGAAAGCCCTCTGGCACCCACCAACTTAGAAGCGCTGATAAGCCCTTGGCTTACTGGAAGTATTCTTAGGCAAGAGTTTGTTGGATTTAGCCCTCAGGCTTGTGTTTCTGAGGTAACACTAAAGATTGTTCTTCAAAAATCTATGCTGTCACCATTAAGCTCTTGGTTACTGCAGGAATCTTCACCCACAGAGGCACGCGTGAGGCAGATGTTGTGAATAACTAAACAATGATGTTTATTTAAGAGAACAGGAACAATTCAGGTATAAAACTTAGCTGTTTTAAAAATACTGGCTTAAAAGCATGTGGTTACATAAAGCAGTTCAAACTTAGTTACACAGAAACTTATCTCTTTCCAAAATGGCTGCCAAACTTCTTTTCAAACTTCTTGGGCCTACTTTTTTCCTAGGGTTTTCCTAGCCTAAGAGGTAGGGAAATCACTACACTACGCCATTGCAACAAGAGTAACTGGTCTTAACAAAACCCTCTTATAGTGCCAAGGCTTTCTTTGGGCGAACAGATGGCAACTACTGGATGTCATATGTTCTGTATCAGAAACTAGAGCTAATGTGGTCTATCCAAAGATATTTTCTGAATCAACACCCCAAATAACCAAATCTAATGTTGACCAAAAACTGATTTGTAGCCTTTTTAGTACTAATGTTAATCCTTGTAAGGTGATTCAAATTCATTAAATACATACTTATGAGGTGATACTTATGAGGGCCTTCTTGGTGGTGGCCTCTCAATTCTGGAACTCACTTCCCAAGGACATCAGACATGCCCCAACACTGGCAGTCTTTAGGAGGAGCCTGAAAACGTGGCTGTTCCAGTGTGCCTTCCCAGAATAAGGAAAACTCTCAGCAATATGCCCTCAAAATGCACTTTATCACTGATTTAGGACTGACTGTGTTCCCTCATTTCTCTTTGAAAAACCCTATCCCAGTTATATCCTACCTTGTTCATGCCCAGCATTATTTTTTAAATTTTAAATTGCATTTGGCCTGGCCATAGGTTTTTTAAATGTTTGTGTTAGTGTTATTGATTATTGCTTATTTTTTGTTTATGTGATTTATATTAATTGTTTTGTATTGATTGTTGTTGTTATTGCTTTTGTTTACCGATGTATTGCAGGCTTGGCCTCATGTAAGCCGCACCGAGTCCCTTGGGGAGATAGTAGCGGGGTATAAATAAAGTTTTTATTATTATTATTATTATTATATTATTATTATTATTTATCATTCCATGTATCTAACTTTATATTACTGAAAATTAAAAGAAAGGGGGGATCCAAGCACTATCAATGCATGCTACAATAGATAAATATAACAGACAAATACTCCAGATCTGTGGTTCTCAAGACTTTGGTCTTCCAAATGTTTGGATCTTGGAGCTGTAGTCCATAATCTAAGCACAACCTCTCAAAATTAATTGCACATATTCTCTCATGTTTCCTCAAATTCAAGTCTGACACTACCTGAATAGTTTTGTGCACAAAGAGTACAAACATTTCTCCCATCTAAATATTTTCAGTAAGAACAATTTTACAGTGAAAAACCTACTCACTAGTTCAATAGTAATTTAGTTAATTCCATGTAGTAAGGGCTGGGCATTGGGGTAAAAGTCTCTTCATTGCGCTCTTGCTCTCGGATTTGCTCCAGTTTCTCTAAAAAGCAATTTGTGAAAAAGACAAAAAAATAATTTACAAAGATGCTGCTTCAAAACAAATCATGTAAGCAGAACAGTAAGTGCCAACAAATTACAATGAAGTGATGAACACATATCTGTTTTAAGTCTAGCAGTCATGTTGGTTAACAGAACAAATGTTCTTGGAAAGTAGACCAGCCTCTTTCCTAACGTTTCTCTGATGCTCAAAAAGTTTGACACAACATAAGCAAGTTTGCCCTAAAGAGTGCTGGTTGACATTATTTCTAAATGCCCAATTTTGAATACTGATGGGGTTGGGGGAGGTTGATGTTGTCATTTGGGAGTTGTAGTGGCTGGGATTTATAGTTCAGTTACAATCAAGGAGCATTCTGAACTCCACCAAGGATGGAATTGAACCAAACTTGGCACGCAGACCTCCCATGACCAACAGAAATTACTGGAAGGGTTTGGTGGACATTGACCTTGAGTTTGGGAGTTGTAGTTCATCGACATCCAGAGAGAACTGTGGACTCAAACATTGACCAAACTTGGCACGAATATTCCATATGCCCAAATATGAACACAGATGGAGTTTGGGGAAAATAGACCTTGCGCTCTGGGAGTTGTGGTTGCTGGGATGTATAGTTCACCTGGAGTCAAAAAGCATCCTGAACCCCACCAACAATAGAATTGGGCCAAAGTTCCCACACAGAACCCCCATGACCAACAGAAAATACTGTGTTTCCTGATGGTCTTTGGCAACCCTTCTGACACCCACTCACGACCCCCTCAGGGGTCCCGACCCCCAGGTTGAGAAACCCTAATATAGGTTAACAATTATATACATAGCAAATAACTAGGATAGGGGGCTTGCAGAAGCTTGCTATTTCCAACAATAGGTCCATACAGCTTTCATACAATTCCATTCAATCCATACATCATTTATTCGTCACACTACTGGCTGTTAGGAATTGTGGGAGTTGAAATCCAGAACACCTGGAGGACTGACATTTGCCCATGACTGGAATAGACGCACCCTAAGACAGGAGAAAAGGTCATCCTTACCCACATCCATCCATTCGGGAGGGATCAAGCGGCACTTCTGCCTCTGTTTTAGGTTGATAGCCAGCCAGAGAGGAACTTGCACAGGAAGCCCAGGATTGAAGGGACCCAGGTCTCCCTACAAAAGGGAAAGCATGAAGAAGTCACTTTAGGTCTGGTCCCGGCATCGTCCTGGAACGTGCAGCTGTTTTCCAGGGATTCAAGATATGAATTACAAGTCTTGCATAAAGGCCAAGTCTTCCTCCGGCAGGTTCTCCCTCAACACTGTGATGTGGCGGCAAAAAAAGCCAATGGGATTTTGGCCTGCATCAATAGGAGCATAGTGTCTAGATCAGGGGTAGGGAACCTTTGGCCCTCCAGCTGTGGTGGACTTCAACTCCCACAATTCCTTGAGGCTCGGCATTCGCCCCAAAGGCTTACCTTGGCCCAATGCCGAGCCTCAAGGAATTGTGGGAGTTGAAGTCCACCACAGCTGGAGGGCCAAAGGTTCCCTACCCCTGGTCTAGATCTAGGGAAGTCATGCTACCCCTCGTGGGAGTTGAAGTCCAAAACACCTGGAGGGTCCAAGTTTGCCCATACCTATTCTATACCTCATTATCAACCCCAGAACTTGGCAGTTACTTTTTGTGCACTACAGCTGCCATTCCGCTGCCATCTAGTATGGTTTCTGAGCAGCAGCAAAAGCTGGATAGAGTCCAGACTGGACTACTGTAATGCACTCTATGTGGGGCTGCCCTTGAAAACGGCCCGGAAATTCCAACTGGCAGTGGCCAGGTTGTTAACTGGTGCTCCTTACAGGGAGAGGTCAACCCTTCTGTTTAAGGAGCTCCACCGGCTGCCATTCATTTTCTGGTCCCAATTCAAGGTGCAGGTGCTTACCTACAAAGCCCTAAACGGTTTGGGACCCGCCTACCTGCGTGACCGCATTTCTGTATGCGAATCCACATGATCTCTTCGATCATCTGGAGAGGCCCTGCTCATGTCGCAAGCACGATTGGTGAGGACGAGGGACAGGGCCTTCTCTGTGGTGGCCCCCCGACTCTGGAACTCTCTCCCCAAGGACATCAGACAAGCCCCAATGTTGGCAGTCTTTAGGAAGAGCTTGAAGACGTGGCTGTTTCAGTGTGCCTTCCCAGAATAGGAAACTCCCAAGCATTGTGTCCCAAATGCACTTTACTGGAGATTTAAGATTGTCTGCATACAGCACCTATCTCCAAAAACCTATCCATTTTGCCTGGTTATGTCCAGCATTTTTTTTAAAAAAAAATATTACATTTGGCCCAGCTTAGTTTTTAAATGCGTTGTGGTATTATTGTCTAATGTTTATTGTTATTGTTTTAATGTTTATTGCTTTGTTTTATGAGTTTATTTATTGTTGTATTTGTTATGCTGTTGTTTTACTGATGTGTTGGGCCTCGGCCTCTTGTAAGCCACACCGAGTCCTTCAGGAGATGTTAGCAGGGTATAAATAAAGGATTATTATTATTATTCTGCGAGTTGTAGTCACAAAAAAAGCAACTTTGCCAAAAGTTTAGGGAACACCCCTTGACCTACTGGCTGTGGGTGATGGGAGTTATAGTCCTGGCAAAGCTTTGAAAAGAACTCACTACTTCCAAACCTATTGGCTGGGGATTATGGGAGCTGTATTCCCCAAAGGTAGCTTTTAAAGAGGAAAGTGGAGCGATTTAAGTCTCTTTAAATCTTTATATTTATGACCCCATTCCTTTATGAGTTTGTCCCCCACAATCTGCTCCATCCCTATCTCATCCTGATTTTTGTATTTTTAGTCTTTATCTTGCACATCCGGCCTGCTCATTGTTATGTTATTTTATCTTATTGTGTATGATTTTGCTTCATTGTTTTTGTACTTATATGTTGTATGTATTTTACTGTGTTGTTATTGTGTTTTGGTTTTACTTTATTTTATTATGCTGTTGGGCTTGGCCTCATGTAGAATCATAGAATCAAAGAGTTGGAAGAGACCTCATGGGCCATCCAGTCCAACCCCATTCTGCCAAGAAGCAGGAATATTGCATTCAAATCACCCCTGACAGATGGCCATCCAGCCCCTGTTTAAAAGTTTCCAAAGGAGCCTCCACCACACCCCGGGGCAGAGTTCCATTGCTGAACGGCTCTCACAGTCAGGAAGTTCTTCCTCATGTTCAGATGGAATCTCCTTTCTTGTAGTTTGAAGCCATTGTTCCACGTCCTAGTCTCCAGGGAAGCAGAAAACAAGCCCTCCCTGTGGCTTCCTCTCACATATTTATACATGACTATCATATCTCCTCTCAGCCTTCTCTTCTTCAGGCTAAACATGCCCAGCTCCTTAAGCCGCTCCTCATAGGGCTTGTTCTCCAGACCCTTGATCATTTTAGTCGCCCTCCTCTGGACACATTCCAGCTTGTCAATATCTCTCTTGAATTGTGGTGCTCAGAATTGGACACAATATTCCAGGTGTGGTCTAACCAGAGCAGAATAGAGGGGTAGCATGACTTCCCTAGATCTAGACACTATGCTCCTATTGATGCAGGCCAAAATCCCATTGGCTTTTTTTGCCACCACATCACATTGTTGGCTCATGTTTAACTTGTTGTCCACGAGGACTCCAAGATCTTTTTCACACGTACTGCTCTCGAGCCAGGCATCGTAAGCCGCCCCGAGTCTCCATTGGGGAGATGGTGGCGGGGTATTAAATAAAGTTTATTATATTATTGCTTGTTTGGTTGCATGCTGCAAATTGCTTCTGGAGTGAAAGAATCCGCCATCTACGAAGACGTTGCCCAGGGGATGCCTGGATATCTTGCAATCCTGCGGGGAGGCTTCTCTCATGTTCCTGTTTTTAAATTTAATATATTTTTATATTTAATTCTGTTTTAATGTTTGTATATTTGAATATTTTAAATTGCGCACTAATGATTTTTATGGTAAGCCGCTTTGTGTCTCCTTTGGGAGAGATAAAGCAAGGTATAAATAAATATTATTATAATAATTCATCTTTAATTGCTCTGCTCTTAGTTCCAAAAGCAGAGAAAACAAGATACATGTAACAACAACAACAACAGCTCTGGCAAAGCTTTGAAAAGCACTCACCACTTCCTAAACCCCTGTCTGGGGATGATGGGAGGTGCAGTCTGCCAAAATTAGCTCTGGCAAAGCTCTGGGGGGCTTTTAACACTCCCTAAACCCCTGTCTGGGGATGATGGGAGCTGCAGTCTACCAAAATTAGTTCTGGCAAAGCTCTGGGGGGCTTTTAACACTTCCTAACCCCTTGTCTAGGGATGATGGGTACTGCAGTCTGCCAAAATTAGCTCTGGTAAAGCTCTAGGGGACTTTTAACACTTCCTCACCCCTGTCTGGGGATGATGGGTGCTGCAGTCTGCCAAAATTAGCTCTGGCAAAGCTCTAGGGGACTTTTAACACTTCCTAAACCCCTGTCTGCAGATGATGGGAGCTGCAGTCTGCCAAAATTAATTTTAGCAAAGCTCTGATGTGCTTTTAACACTTCCTAAACCCCTGTCTGGGGATGATGGGAGCTGCAGTCTGCCAAAATTAGCTCTGGCAAAGCTCTGGGGGGCTTTTAACACTCCCTAAACCCCTGTCTGTGGATGATGGGAGCTGCAGTCTGCCAAAATTAGCTCTGGCAAAGCTCTAGGGGACTTTTAACACTTCCTACACCACTGTCTGGGGATGATGGGAGCTGCAGTCTGCCAAAATTAGCTCTGGCAAAGCTCTGGGGGGCTTTTAACACTTCCTAAACCCCTGTCTAGGGATGATGGGTGCTGCAGTCTGCCAAAATTAGCTTAAGCAAAGCTCTGGGGGGCTTTTAACACTTCCTAAACCCCTGTCTAGGGATGATGGGAGCTGCAGTCTGCCAAAATTAGCTCTGGCAAAGCTCTGGGGGGCTTTTAACACTCTCTAAACCCCTGTCTGGGGATGATAGGTGCTGCAGTCTGCCAAAATTAGCTCTGGCAAAGCTTTGAGGGGCTTCTAACACTTCCTAAACTCCTCATCTTCTCACTCACCCCAATGAGGTAGATCCTGTCCAGGCTGAAGTTGGGGATGATGGTAACCGGCTCTTGCTCGGCCAGGAACTCCACTTCCGCGGCCTCCATGGCAAAATGCAGCCTCAACTCAGCCTCCTGGGGCATCCCCGCTTCCTATTGGTCGGAAACGCGAGCAATCATTTCCGTAGCCCAATGAAAGCCCCCGCTTTGGTCTCGCGCCCCTGCTATTGGTTGGGAAACTCAAGCCATCCCCGCCCACCGCGAATTGGTTTTTTTTCTTTCCCGCGCTAATTCCAAGCCTGAGAAAGCCGTGCGTCCTACTGGTTGGGAATAATGTGATTGACTACTTTTCTATCCAATGAAAGGCCTGGGTTTTCCTCAGGCGTGATTTTTATTGGTAGAAAACAAGAGCTTAATCCCACCCACTGCTCCGCCCGCTACTTTTAGCTTATATTGAAAGCCTCCCGCTTTTCCTGGCGTTTCCTATTGGATGGGAAGAGAAAGTACCGCCCACTCCCCACTCTTAACCCAATGGGAAGCTCAACGTTTTGCATATCTCATACAATTATAGCTGCCATTGGTTGAGAGGCAGAGAAACAGGGAAGACCCCGCCCACTAATGCTTAACTTATTATGTTGTCTTATTTTCTCGCATGGAATTTAGCCCCGCCTACGAGTGATGGCTATTGGTTGGACTGTCTCTCGCCCCGTCTCCTGATTGGTTTGTATTTCGGATGCCTCTAAAAATAGATAGATAGATAGATAGATAGATAGATAGATAGATAGATAGATAGATAGATAGATAGATAGATAGATAGATAGATAGATAAGATAGATAGATTAGATAGATAGATAGATAGATTAGATAGATTAGATAGATTAGAGAGAGAGAGAGACAACGTCCTTGCAGACGGCCAATTCTCTCACACCAGAAGCGACTTGCTCCTGACACAACAAAAAACAACATTATAATATTATAAATATTATATGTATATACAATATATTATATTATTAGTAAAGACAAGATGGAAATGTCTCCTGCTCCCCTCTGTCTTCGCCCCTGCCAGATCAAGTGCATGTTAAAGAAAAACCTTATAATGTTAATTATGTGCAGCTGGTAATGTAGGTCAGCTAGCATGTTTGGGCCACACCCAATGGGGTATAACTGTATGGATTTTAGAATACAGTTTGGAGAAGCAATACACTACTCTGAGAAGCAATATGCTGTAATGCTGCTATGCACTAACAGCAATGCTCTTTGCTATGGTGGAATAGCTTTTTAGGCGTATGTTTTACTCTCATTTGAATGAAGATGAAGAAGCCGTATTCTGTGTTATTTACAAGGACTATGTAAGTTTGTTGCATTGTTTGATTTTGTATGCAACATTGTAAGTTTATTCCTCTGCTGATTTTTTTTTTTTGTCGTGTCAGGAGTGACTTGAGAAACTGCAAGTCGCTTATGGTGTGAAAGAATTGGCTGTCTGCAAGGACATTGCCCAGGGGACGCCTGGATGACTTTGATGTTTTTATCATCCTTGTGGGAGGCTTCTCTCATGTCCCCACATGAGGAGCTGGAGCTGATAGAGGGTGCTCATCTGCCTCTCCCCGGATTCGAACCTGCGGCCTGTCGGTCTTCAGTCCTGCCAGCACAGGGGTTTAACCCACTGCGCCACTGGGGGCTCCGCCTCTGCTGATAAGAGTAAAGTTTTTATGTTCCTTTTTTCTTCTTGTTTGTGTGTCTTTTGCATGGGACTTGGCTAAAACATGCTTTGCGCAACACGGCCTTCCTGGTGGTAGGCCCCCACCTGTGGAACTCACTCCCCAGTGAAATTAGGTTGGTGCCATCTCTCCTTTCCTTCAGGAAAAAGCTCAAATCATGGTTGTGGGACCAGGCATTTGGACGGCAGGCTTAGCAGCAATCGCAGTTGATGTATGTGAACTGATAATGAATGTTGAATCGAATTTGGATGTGGCCATATTATTGTTAATAATGTTTTAACTGCCTTTTTATATTTAATGTTTTAATCAATGTTTTAATTGGGTTGTTGTAGTTTTTTCCGGGCTATATGGCCATGTTCTAGAGGCATTTTCTCCTGACGTTTCGCCTGCATCTATGGCAAGCATCCTCAGAGGTAGGGAGGTCTGTTGGAAGTAGGAAAATGGGTTTATATATCTGTGGAATGACCAGGGTGGGACAAAGGACTTTTGTCTGATGGAGCTAGGTGTGAATGTTTCAACTGACCACCTTGATTAGCATTTAATGGCTTGGAAGTGCCTGGGGGAATCTTTTGTTGAGAGGTGATTTGATGTGCCTGATTGTTTACTCTCTGTTGTTTTGCTGTTGTAATTTTTGAGTTTTTTTTAAATACTGGTAGCCAGATTTTGTTCATTTTCATTGTGTTCTCTTGCTATGTTGTGTGTTGGCATCGAATTGTTGCCGGCGTAAGCCGCCCTGAGTCCCCCCTTGGGGATTGAGAAAGACGGGGTACAAATGTTTGAAATAAATAAAATAAAAAAATAAATTTCTCAGTCAGTTGGCATGATGTCTGTTGCAGTTAGCCTACAACCTTATGCATTTTGTGCAATTAAAAAAATGACATTTTCAAATACCCCAGGCAACGTTGGGGACCCGTTATTAAATAAATAAAATAATATAAAATAATAAAATATTTCACAAAAAACCAGGACATTTTAAATGCATAACAAATCATGATGCTTTATAAATATTCCCAAGTCTTGGAAAACATTATTATTTCCAATGACAATAAAACATGCCAGTCCAGCAATGGATAGAATCAATGCTAAGGTTGGAATCAAACTTTCAGGCTTTTTTTTTAGGAGGGGGCAAATCTAGCAGAAATATAATGGCCAAAGAGAGTGCATGGATTTCAATTCTTATACAAAAAAAGTGACATAGGAAACCGCATTCAGTTTGATAGTGATGGATCAAGTATACAGTAATCTGGATTGTTGTGAGTTTTCCAGGTTGTATGGCCACATTCCAGAAGCATTCTCTCCTGACGTTTCGTCTGCATCTACGGCAGGCATCCTCAGAGGTTGTGAGGTCTGAGGACCTCACAACCTCTAAAGATGCCCAGCATAGATGCAGGCAAAACATCAGGAGAGAATGCTTCTGGAACATGGCCATACAGCCTGGAAAATGCACAACAACCCAGTGATTCTGGCCACGAAAGCCTTCAACAATACATTATACAGTAATCTGATGCTCATTCCAGCCATCATTCCATCTGCAGCAATAATACCTAATACAAAGAATGTACATTTTGTCCATGGCGGTTGGTTAAGCCTGAGAAGATGTTGAGGTTTCAAAGGATCTTTATGGCTAGTTGAGATATTTATTCCCTGATATTGAGCTGAAACGAATGGATGGACAGCATCTCATTCAAACAAATGTCAACGTAACATTTGCTTCGTTTTCACACAGCTCGTATGATAGACTTGTCATCCCATAATAATGATAACACAATTGTTTTCTGTCGTCCGTTGCAGGTAGGATCGCATCTCTTCAAAGAGAAATAGTTCGTGCTTGGGATAATAATGCAGCCCTTTCTTCGGGGTGTGAATGCATCTCTTCCTGTCGAACCACACATTGTCTAGAACCCTTTCCAACTATACAGTTCTGTCTCCTTTTAAGATGCTTTGTGTGTGGATATGTGTGTATAGATAAAGACATAGATATATCTGTCTTGGCTCTAACGTATTCATGCCCTGCAATGGTTTCCCATTTGGTTGAGACAATCCCAGGCCCCTTCTACCCCAACATATAATCCAGATTAATATCAAAGCAGATAATGCACATTATCTGCTTTGAACTGGATTATATGAGTCTACACTGACATATAATCCAGTTCAATGCACCAAAGGGAAGAAGGGATCCAACAAACGGAAGGCATCCTTTCTAAACCATTGCCTAGGGAAGATGGGAAATGTAGTCCACCAAACAGTAGCCCTGGCAAAGCTCTGAGGGGATCTTTACACTTCCTAAATCATTGGCAGGAGATGATGGGATCTGTAGTTCCTAAAAAAGTAACTCTGGCAAAACTCTGACACGCTCTTTACATTTCCTAAACCATTGTCTATGGATGATGGGATTTGTAGTCCCACAAAAGTAGCCCTGGCAAAGCTCTGAGGTGATCTTCACAATTCCTAAACCATTGTCAGGGGATGCTGGGATCTGTGGTCACACAAAAGTAGCCCTGGCAAAGCTCTGAGGTGCTCTTTACACTTCCTAAACCATTTTCTGTGGATAGGATTTGTAGTCCCACAAGAGGGGCTCTTCACACTTCCTAAACAATTATCTGTGGATGATGGGATTTGTAGTCCCACAAAAGTAGCTCTGGCAAAGCTCTGAGGGGCTCTTTACACTTCCTAAACCATTGTCTGTGGATGGGATTTGTAGTCCCACAAGAGGGGCTCTTCACACTTCCTAAACAATTATCTGTGGATTATAGGATTTGTAGTCCCACAAAAGTAGCTCTGGCAAAGCTCCAAGGTGCTCTTTACACTTCCTAAACCATTGTCAGGGGATGACAGGATCTGTGGTCACATAAAAGTAGCTCTGGTGAAGCTCTGAGGCGTTCTTTACACTACCTAAACCATAGTCTGGGGATGATGAGGTCTGTGGTCCCCCAAAAGTAGCTCTGGCAAAGCTTTTGGAGATGCTCTCTCCATTTTTCAGACCATTATCTGGGGATGATGGGACCTGTAGTCCCCCCAAAAGTAACTTTGAGGCACACTCAACAATGGCTAGAGATAATGGGACTTGCAGGCTGCCTCATTTCTTTAGTGGGAAGGGGATGGATGTGTCACCTTTCCACGCTCCATTTAACAACCCTGCAGAATCCCATCCCTTTTGGAATGGAAAGTGTGAGTGTTGAACAGTGAGGAGGTCAAAGCCTAGCTATAATTATATTAAGGGGGAACGCAATGCCCTTGAATTTGCCTATCAATCATTAGCACCCAGGTGACAATATTGAACAGGTTTGCACAAAGATCACCTGAGTCACAGTCTTCTCCGTTGTATAGTGAGGCTTCCATATCCACTTGCGATATGTTTCCAGATAGGCCTAGAGATGACCAGAGATAGAGATGGTCTCAGCATCCCACAAAATCCCTTTGAGGACCTAAACACTAAGA